CTCCGAGTTCGAGCAATTCGTGCAAGAGAATACGAAGAGCAACGGCGATGCCGCTCAGGGGAATTCAGCGGGGATCGAGAAGAAGAAGAAGAAGAAGGCAGAAGAGATGCAACGAGCGGAGAAACTGGCGCGAGCTCGTCAGAACGATCTGATGAGCCTGGTCCAGAGCGGTTTAGGCAGCTTGTTCACCGTCTCACCCTCCTCCTCCTCTTCTTCTTCCACGACGGAGGACGAGCGTCGGGCAAACTCGGCGGTGACCACGATCGAAATCAACGGGAATTAAAGCCGCGAAAGGGGTTTCCTTCTAGACAGGACGCTCCGGTGGTAGCCGGAATGGAACATTCGATCGTGGAAAAATCTATTTATTACTTCGTCACGTTATTTCGCGATCACCTTCATAGAGGCTCACCGTGGCGGTAGATCCCGCGATCGATCGATCGATCGATCGATCGATCTCCCCGCGGTTTCGTCTTTCGTCTTCGATTAGAAGAAGCACGCGTCAATTTCTAATGTGCCAGTATACGTGCACACGCGCATGCACGCGCGCGTAAACATAGCATTAGCCGAAAGAACGAGACAGAGGTGCGAAGGACGAGGAGGTTTCGTCGATAAGAGGTGAGATTCGCATGGACGTTACCATCGCTGCATACGGTTCACACGTTGTGTTATTAACGCTAGTCTTAACGTTTGCCAATCACCGCGCCGTGGAAATCCAACAACATCTTCCGTCGGACAGCTGTTGTTAATTATCTGTTTACGGTGTAACGCGTATTTACACTGGAAGTTGCAAAGTGCGCGCATGTGTGTGTGTACGCGAGTCGGACCGGGAGCGTCGGCTGCGTCTACGTGCTCGACAATTGTGTATAACTTACTATGTCGCGTATAATGAATTGTACCTGACGGTCACACGTTTTCTTCATTTCTCCGTTTATCAATAAATTAACGCATTATTAACGACGTGCCGAGACGCTGTTGGTAGGTTCGTTCCCACCGGGTTGCAATCCTGTCGCTAGTTGCGCGCCGGCTACTCACGGTAGGTATACCAGAAGTGGTAGACTTGGTTTTCGGAAAGGAAAGCATTAAGCGATCGAGGTACGTACTTACGTATATACCTCGAGTGTAAAGAGGTGTTCTCTGACAGGTTGAAAAATTGCTACGATCAGGGAGAAAAATGTGGTCGCTACAAAGTGGAGACCGGTTCACACTTGGGCTCCCTTTTCTCGTTTCCTTCCGAAAAGGCGGCGGCGATCTAGTGAAAACAAGGATTCGCAAGCGTATCCGCAAGGTTACCGAACGACCGTTGGCTAAGTGGGTCGCCCGACTCGGGTTAAAAGGACGTTGTAAAATTAAAAGGACCGATCGAAAGGTCCCCGAGAGATTATCTTCCTTTCGTACACAGGCCGTACACAGGCCGTACACAGGCCGTACACAGGCCGTACACGGCGTGAATATACGTATAATATTTATTCGGGATCCGAAAGTAAGATGCGGAACGTGAGAAAAGTGTCTGGTTCGGAGGCGTTGACGCGTAGATAGAGAGAGAGGCACGAGGAAAAGGTCAACCATAATGAAAGTTAAATAGGCGCGGGGAAGGGCTCGTATCGTTATCTTACCGTTAGCGTGGGTATACCAACCTAACGTCGCGTTTCCCCGTCGCTACTTACTTATGTATGTATACCTACGATCTCGAGCGAAGATCAATCGAGAGAGAAGGTTATATTTATTTGTAGGGGAACGGCGGAAAAAGTTGTCCAGCCATTTGCGGCCGATTGCGAACATCCTGTTGTAGTTTGGTCTATCTTACGCCACCCTTCTCGCTCCTACTCTCAACATCCTTCCCTTTCGGGGACAAACGGTCCAGGACCGTAGCGGAAACGGAGTATGTATAGAGGTCGCGAACATCGTCAACCAGTTGAAAACGACTTTTTTTCCCTCCTCATCCTACGTCCTCGTCCTCGTCCTCGTCGCGTCTCCAGTGGTCATAATGTGGAACGTGGTGATCGTCTACGGGAAGCGAAGGCCTCATTGCACCACTGTGGAAACTAGAAACCAGCCGTAAAAACTAACCCAATATCGGTACACTCGTACGCCTGCCTTCCCCCCTTTCCTCTCGCTTTGGATTCTCGAATCCACGCAGATCAGCCAAACCTCTCTTTTCTCCTCCAACTATTTACGCTTTCGTTAGCAAACTCCTTACAGGATTTCCCCCGTGTTGTAGCGTTTCTAGCGGCCGCGAGTCAGTCGTTTAGACCGGTAAGCTCGTGGAAAGAAACGAAATGGTACGTGAGTTCCAGAAACACACTGACGGCTCGCCGTTTCCGCGTATCGATAGATCGTCGTCGTCGTCGTCGCTCCTCTCTTACTCTCGTCAAGTCTAGCTTGGCCTACCTTTTACCAAACGAACACGTCCAACGAAATTTCGATCGTTCCCCTATTCCCGGTGGTGAAGGAGGACGAGGAGGGGGAGGTAGGTAGCTGAAAAGAAAGCAGAAGAATCCTAGTAGGTATGTACCTACCTACTTGCCACGCGGTTCCCCCGACGTCAATTGTTTCGAACCGGTGAAAGTGGAATGCAAATCACATCCTGCTCGAACGAAAGCAACATCCTTCGTCCGATACAACCAAGTTGTGTAGCTGGAGCGACGCGTGAAGCATGTTAACGCACGGTCCAACCGTTCCAACCTCCATTTATACCTTTACCCCCCGACACCTGTCCCTGTGTGCCCGACACCGGATATAAAAAGAAAGTTAGTCACCGAGATTTGAAGGAGGCGAGGAGAAGAGTGTCTGTTCGGTTCCGGGTGCGACGACCCACCTCCGTTCACTCCTTTGCATACACAAAGAAACTACTAGAGAGTCACATTACTGGAGCTGCATTGCTAATTAGTCGAGCCGCGACCGCGACCGCCGCCGTTTCTCGTTCGATCCTCGACGAACCACGCGCTCCTTCTTCCCACGTGCAGCCGACCACGATCCCGCCAATTTCGTTCCCACTCGTACCCACTCGTTCCAACGTTACGCGTGAACACCGTCGAAATCATCTCTCGATATCGATTAAGTTGGAGAAATCGAATCGTACGTCGCATGAGAAAAATATCGACCGCTCGTT